TGTGAGTGTGTGCACATACCTGTGTGTATGTGTGAGTGCACATGAGTGAGTGTGCGTGTGGATGTGTGTGCGTGACAGTTAAAACACTGTGGGTGTAGGTGACTCCCTCGGTCATAAAACCCATCTCCCTTCCAGACCACAGTTATCCAGTTACAAAATGTTGAGACCCCCACCCAAACATTCTCTGGGAAATTTCCACTCAGCATTAACTCCTCTCTGTTTTACTTTCACAGCTCAAGTGGGGGAGGGGTCTCCTACACTCTACTCCTAAGTTCACGACACAGTGAGGCCTTTATTATATTAAGGGCAGTATCAATGTCTCTACAATAGTTCTACATTCTATGTTAACACATTTCTAAACTCTAAAATAAGATAAACACTCCTACAATAACTAAAAGGAAAAAAAAGGAAAAACAACAAAAAAAAAAGTAGCACACGGATGGTGTGTTATATTGTTATGAGACCCTTCAGATTTATAGAGAATAGCAGCAACAGCCTTCGCTGTTTTATAAGACACTAGTTCAGATCAGACAGACAAAAAGACAGGAGGCCGAACGGAAGATGTTCAGACTTTCACTGGACACGATTAGAAATGAGTTCACGAGAGACAAAGTCAGAGAGGCTGACATCCTAATCTTTCCTGGGAATAACACTCCAGGAAATATAAATCTAATAAACTAATAGTTCATAAAGGACACAGACTCATTACTGTAAGATTAATTTTAATAGTTTAACTGATAAATCAAAAAATGCTGGAGCTGCAACATGTTAACATGTAGTTAACAGATTAAAATTGAGGCTCTCATATTAACAGCTAACTTTCTATACTGTGCTGATTTATTTGTCACAGTCTTGGTCATTTATTTTGAACTTTTTTGTGGAGGTTAAACTTTCTGTTATAAATTTACCTGTATGTGTATTTTAAATATGATCTGTGTCATTAAATGCAACAGTTTCAAATCCACCTTGAAGGCTGAGTTCTTGTTCTGAAAGATGAGGATGTGTAACTGTGACACTAGAAGAGGTGTGGATCTTATTCTCTGAACTTTCTCTAAACTTATATTTTATGTGACAGTAACTTTGTATTTTCTGTTAACAACACCAGGAGCCACTTGGATGATGTCCATTAGCTTGGATATTCTCTTCTGCCAAGACTTCTGCTGCCGTCCTTCCTCCATACCTGACAAAGACGACTGACTGTTGTGTTCTTTCTCAATCCAAGTGTCCATATTATTCAGCTCATCAACAAAGAGATTTTTAAGGAGAACATCCCACAGATGATGGTCCCACATGCTGGGATTGTTGTGTGTGACCCTGGTTGGACATCCACAGAGAAAGGTGAGTGTTATTATCTTTATTATCATATCACCACCAACATCTGGTTTTTCTGATCATTAAAATCTTCTAAAGATTTTCAGTTACAGTGAGAACATTTGCACTAATACTGAACCATTCCTCAAAATCTTTTACATACAAAACATTTTTACGGAGCAGGTCGCTATGATCAGCCAGCAAGACGCTAAGCCGACCGGGAGACGAAGGCTGTCGTGAGGTGACCAAGGATCCATCCCCAGAGCTGATTGGCCGCTCCACACTTTCCACAGAGGTGGAGGCCAACCCAACCTAATATCCAGAGCTGTGAATGCCCTATCCACCTTAAAAAGTATGAGCTGGTTTAGGGCTAGGTAGCAGCCTGCGGAGTAGAGGATGGACTCAGCCTCAAAGTCCTCCTGATAGCTGTCCTCCAGTAGCCCTTGGCTGGCGAGAGAGGGAGCTGGCTACACAGTGTATTGAGGACACTCTGCCATTGCCTGTGAGGCATCCACCTTCCCTACATTAGCCTTAGGCATGTCGGGAAGTGGTTGGCTGGTACGCTTAGATTAAAAAAAGCGAGCACGAGCCTCTCTGGTATGTGCTGGCAATATGAAACAGTCCATGCAGGACTGCAGAGCTTCCCTGGTCTGCATGGCATGTTCCCAACAGTGAGCATGGAGAGGGCACCGAGCACGAACTCGTGAGACTGTGAGAAAAGCTCCATGTCCACCAGAGAACTCCCACACACTGGGCAGGTGATCCTCAGCAGGACCTACTAGATACGTGAATCTGCGAGGCCACAAGCAATACTCCAGGAGAATGCTGGATGCAGGACCCTCGGCAAGCGCCGAGTGTGCGACCTGCAGCTAGTCACCGCAGAAGAGCTTTTCCATTGTGGATCGGGGCAACAGAAACTTGGGAGGCTGCTGACAAAGGCTCCCCATCACAAAGGTAACGAACACACCCCAGCCACACACAGTACCACATACAAGCATACACACACAGTAATTCAATTCAATTCAATTTTATTCATATAGTGCCAAATCACAACAAAAGTTGCCTCAAGACGCTTCATAGATACTGTAAAAAGTGGAGATGCAACGATCACCAGTTTCACATCTGCACAGCTGATTTATAGTTAAGCTGGTCTGTAGAGTTCACATGGAGCCGGTGTGGGTGAGGGGACTCGCCCAGCTCTAATGACCAAAGTCCAGGTGTTGTCCCTCTGTCCACTGACAAGAAACAAAGAGCTGAGTAGCCTTGCAGGTCAAATCCTACCAGTCCCCTCAGTATGACAGCTCCCCCCTAGATCGTGGAACTTGTTAGTAACAGGGTTTATGTCAGAGGCCTGAACAGTCAGCCCCAAGGGAGAGTTATATTTAAAGGCCCAGAGTAACCTCTAAGAACTGTTTATAATAAAATGATTAATATTCTTATATTAGTTTTACTATTTCACAAAGGTTTAAAAAGGGTATGTCCACAATTTAGACTGTAATTACAGGATATTTTACTTTATTTGGCAGGAGTGAAGCAGAGGCAGAATTAAATGATAATAACAGTCACAAAATAATAAGCAAATCACATCAATCATAATTATCTCATTAACCTACTCTGAGCTAATGCTGATTTTGTCCTTATCTTTGGGATGAGAGAGGTTGGAGGAGAGAATGAGCAGATCTTGTGCTGAATTTTGTTTCATCTCAGTGTTTTGTGCTAATGGAAACAATCCAACAGGAAAGCAGGAATCCTTGAATATTCGATACTTCAGGAAAACAGCAAGACCCCAGATCTTCTCAGTGTTGGGAGAAGCTGCAATCCACCAGGAAAATGATGGGAGTCCAAACCGTTAGAATTATAATCCAACAGAGCAAAGATGATGATGATGATGAGCAGAGATGGAGCCAAATCCATGTTGAATTTGTAAGTCCATTGTCTGGGCAGCTGGTTGATGTCTCTGGTGTCTCTGCCAGAATTTCCAATGGTGAATTTCTGGTATCCGATCATCTGAACTGCTCATCACACAGAACTGCTGGAAACAGAACCTGAACATCTCTGAGGCTCCAATTTATGCTCTGACAAGTGCTCACTCACCCCACCTCTCCTCCCTCTGGCAGGTCGTCACCAATCACTGTGTTTCTGGATGTTAAATCCTTTTACCTGCTCAAAGATGTGATGACAGGGGAAAGTACTTCAGCCTCTCTGTCACTTTTCTTCCATCAGAAACTTTTTGTTTTTTTATTGAGCTGAGATCAGATTTGTGACGGTCACTCTGATAACTGGATGTTGTTTAAACCATTTTGCCACAGTTTCTGTACAACTGTGTGTTTAAACTTCAAGTTCGTCTCTTGAAGGTCTTCAGCTGCTCATGTTGCAGATCCACTGTGAGCTGAAATTCCAATGAAGAAAACTGAAAGTGATGTTTCAGATTAGTCAATGAGCTCGTTAGTTAATAACTGTGTAAGATGGTGTTATGGTCCCCTGATCCTCTGCTGCCTACCCACCATCGATCTTTCCTCCCTCTGTTTTCTATCTTTGTCTCTCTGTGAGTGTGGCATTTGTGGTGTGTGTGATGTGTGTCGGTGGGGTTTGGCAGTTCTGCTGGTTCCTGCTCCTCCTCGGCTGGAGCACCTGCAGTAACTGATAATCAGTCCAGCACATCAGTTTGGAAGAATTTGACTCCATTTTTGACACAGAGCAGCTTTAATTCTGACATGTTGGATTTTCTCACATGAACTTCCAGCTCTTTCACACCATTTCTGTTGGACTCTGTTGGACTCGGTTGTTGCAAAGCTCTATTTTTAACAGCAGGCATGGACGCTGTGTGTTCCTACGAGGCTGCTGGAGCTGATTGAGGCCACTCAGTACAACTCTGATGATTCCAGCAGACATGCCACAGCACATTTCAGAAGCATCCCTGAAGCATCTCTTTGCTCCGCACCACTAAAAATAACTCTGGATCTATTTTTTACAGAAGCTCCATCAAGCTGCACAAAACAGAGGAAAATGTGCAGCACAGAAGAAACAGCAAAGGAAATCCTGTCAGTGCTGAAAATAGAAGAGCCTGTGCAGACCAACATGTTTCTCTTCTAAAATACACCAGGTGTGGTTTGAAGGACGCAACAAAACCACATCAGAAAGACATCAGAGACTCATCACATCACTCGCTGGATTCACTGGATTCTTTTTCTTTCACCATTATTTGGAACAAAGAAAACAAACGTGACTGGTTTGTGTCATTGTGGTGCTGCATGGCCCACTTTCTCCTGAGATTCAGTTCACAGACAGATGTTCTGATAGTTTTCTTTACAATTTGCTGCTAGAATTCAAACTTGATTGTGTGATTAATGATGGTGAGCCAGATGGGCCAAACCATGATCCTATCAGCAGCATGTTTCATTGTAGTGGTGCATCATTGATGGGATACATGGACTGGTGCTTATATAGTGATTTTCTATTTTCATGTGGACTAAAGTAGTGGACTGACCAACAGACTGACATTAACATCAGAGCCGTGCTGCTAGTGTGGCTAAAAGAAAAGAGAAGAAGAGACAGTCATGTTGATATGAACATTAGAGAAACACATCATGGAGCTGAAATATGATCCTGCTTCCTCATTTGGACTCATTCACCTCAGCTGACACGTTCAACAGCAGACAGGTTTTTGTATTAGTCTGTCTCACTGTGAGAGGAAGATACTACTTCATCTTTGGCTCTGGAACTAAACTGTCTGTAACAGGTAAGAACAAACATTTATTTTCCTTCAGTTGTTTTATTGTAGAAGCTGAAAATGTGTTTAAAGTCAGTTTGTGCTGCTTCAGGCTTTACATGTTAGTTTTTCATCATTAGTAGAGAATTCATCTGCAGCCATTGTTACATAAGAAAAGCTCAATAATCTCTGAAAACATGTTGAAATCTCACTGAACAACTAAAGTTATTCTTTATTTCTGCAAATATTAGTGATGTTACAAATATTTAGGATTTGATCCTCTCAGTGATTCTGCTGGTTTTTAACACAAGATCATATTTGATGTTAAAAATAATATGTTTGGTATTAAAATGTACATAGAAATGTCAGCTTTGGTTAAATGTAAATAAAAACATTGAGAAATGTGTTTGTTCAGAAAGTCTTTTTTCTAAAGAATATATGAATATGTGAGTTAAAAGTGATTCTGTTAAAAAATAACAATAAAAAGAATCATGTTTATTTAGCAAGTAATGATTTAATAAACATATTTATGTGTTCGAGAGCAAAATAATAAATACTTTTAATGGTTAAATTAATGTATTATTTAAGAATATTTTTTAAAGAAAATTAAAAAATAAATAAAATTAGAATTTTCTCAAAAATAAACATTCTAACTTTACATATAACGGTGCAAACTTAAGTGTTTCAATCCTGATGGACTGTTTAAATTTATTTAAATCATGTTTGACAAAATTAAATGTTAGTTCTCAAGAACAGCATCAGACGGCGAACAATTCCGTATAATTGAATCAATATTTTCAAGTTTATAATTATAAAAATATTTCATTTCATACATAAAAACTATGAAAATACTTGTGAAAAGAAAACACTGACATTCTATTTCAGTGTTAATTTTATTAAATTAAAGTGTGTAATATTAAATATTTAAGATGTTATCTCAACGCTGTGAGCTCTGAAATTTTTTATTAAACTTTTAAATAATAAAAAAATATATGTTAAATGTCTTTGTCATTATTATGAAATTAACCATAAAAGTCCTAAAAGGAGAGAGCTTGTTCAAGCTGGCAGTGGATAATAGAGGGAACATCACTGACACACTGGGAGTCCAAACACAAACAGAACCAGTGGTTCACACAATTCAGAATCACCAGTTAACTGAAAAAACTTGTATTTGGATTGTAGATGGAAATCAGAGCACCCAGAAAAGAACGACACAGGCACCGAGAGTTCCTGCAAACACACAGCAGAGCCCCACCCGACCAGCAGGTCTGACCCCACAACCTTCACCCTTTGAGGCTACAGCGCAAACCACCACATCACCATGTCACCATTATGTTTTCAAATATTTCTTATGAAGCTAAAAAGAGGAAACAACAGAACATAATCTCTGTTTTTTCAACCAGCAGGACCCAGAGTCCACGTGGAGGGGAACAGCTCCCTGCTGTGTGTGCCCCCAGCCATGTTTCCTCACCTGGTCCAGCTGTCGTGTAAAAGACAGAAGAAGAACGGCTGGCTGGAGGAGCTGCCCCCTGCTGATGGAGAGCAGCTGGAGCTCAGAGAGTCGGGACGCAGCGCCTCCATCTTACTGATCCATCAGCAGGAGAAAAGCACATATAAATGTACCTGCTGGGTGAAGCACGAGGGGGGCACAGTGGAGGCCCGAACACAACAAGGTAATGAAGGCTTGGTGACTGTGTTCAGCAGTGATTCAGCTTCATGTGGAGATGCTGTCAAAGAGAGCAGAGCAGCAGAGGACTGACATTTCTCACTGCAGCTCCAAACATTTGACTCCTTTTCTGTTTCAGAGCTTCCAGCTCCAGCAGCCTCCTGTCCTCCAGAGAGAGAGCCAGCAGACCTGCCAGCTCTGCAGCCAGCTGACTGTAAGATCACCTGCTGCCTCTCTGCATGGACAGCTCCAATGTCCAATGAGGCAGCTGGAACAAGTTTAGGCTCTTAAAGTTGCACTAATTGATCAAATCTTCATCCAACAAGCTCTGATAAAGCCACTGTACACTAGCTGCTCAGCACCAAACAGCAGACAGACCATAATATGTCAGAGATCAGTTTGTTAGCTGCTTGTGGAGTTCTTCTGCCCCCAAGTGGACACAAACACTACATCAATTCATCCACTTGAAGAAGAAGCTGTGACTGTTTCTATTTGGACTTTTTCTCCTTGATCTGAGAGGAATAACCCGACTGTCTGTCTGTCTCTTTGTGTCTGTCTGTCCTTCAGTGTCCTTCCAGTCTCAGTGCAGGGTGAAGCTGCTCTGCCTGCTGTACACAGTGCTGATAGTGAAGAGTCTGGTGTACTGCTGTGGACTCTCTCTGCTGATGATGCTCACAAACAAGGGAGCGTCCACCAACTGCACACATGCTGACTGACTGTTTCCTGCTCGCCTTTTCTCACCATCACATCTCATCAATTCATCTCATTCATCACTTTGATCACAAATGTTAGTTATGATGTGTTGAGCTTATTTTGCCTTTTTCTTCAACAGTTAGAAGATCGTCTGAAATAAATACATCTTTACATGTATTGTTGCTCTGAGTTAGAATTCTTTTTGTGCTTATTGTGACTTTTATTGTAGTAACAAAAACCATCAGGAATATTTTTATCACAAGTTTTTGTTTGATTTTCAAATGTCAAACAGTGTAGTTGTGTTTGTGTGAACAATAAAGATTTGAAGATGAAGAGTTTGATTCTACTTTCATTGTGTGATCAACAACAACCCGTGTGAGTGAAGCACAAACTGACTGTATCCAAACTTGCTCTCCTGCAGCAGACGGGCTGTGTGGGTTTCTGCTCTGCAGCCTCCACACCGTTAGCTGTGGCTTTCACTTTAATAACACAATGACAGTTACAAGCAGGAACTCTGCTTCAAGAATGATTCCAGGAAGGATCTGTGTTCTTCACCTGTGAGAGAAACAGCTCAAATCCTCAACTCACAGCTGACAAATGAACTTTAATGGAATCAAAGGAGAGACCATGAAGCCCCTGCAGTCTGCTCAGCTCCCATTTTATTACCTGAGCTGAGTTTTTCATTCTGGATATCACACACGTAAGAACAGATCAAGTCTGAACAGCAAATGTTGGAGAATCATTTTGAAGTCTTGCTAAATGTCGTTATTATTACAAAAACTACTGAATGATTCAGAAAATCCTTTCCAACAAGCAGAAATATGCAAACAAAGTAGAAACAAGGCAACATGAGTCATTCAGATGCAGATAACATATTCTCCTTATTGTGAAGAACACAGTCATGAAATCTTTCTGTGTGTCATTCATTGAGTTGAAGTGCCTAATAGAAGAGGAAGAGCAGCAATAATCAATGATAGCTGAGACATTGAGAACATGGCTGTATGCCTGCTATCATAACAGCAAACAAAGCACACAAACAGCAAACACACAATAATGTGCTCGCAGCTTGTTGTGTGTTGTGTCATTTTTGACATTTCATGAAGTCACAAAAATGTGTGCGACTCATTAAAGGAGTGTGTACGTGTCAGTCAGTGCTCTGTATTCATGTGTTCACCTCATTAAAGTCACTCAGACACTTTTCTCCTCCAAACTTACAGCACAGCTTCATATTTCACTGACTGATTCTTTCATTACATCCATTAAGGGTCACACAGTGAAATTAGTGCAAACTTACAAATGTGTTGCAACAATTTTGGCCTCCAAACTGAACTTTGAGACAAACAGTGAAGCTGTGAGCAAAAAGAGGCTCCAGTGTGTGTCATGGTGGAGGAAACTGTTGTATTCCCACATTCAAAACATGCTGATCTTATTGGATTTGTCCCTCAAAGTCTTTTTCCTCCTTTTTCTCTTCATCCAAATGTTCTAGCAGGCTGACTGTGAGTCCCTGTTGAACCTGTACAGCAGAAAGTAACAGCAGTCAGCGGCCTCCACTTGACTTCATGACTTCAACGCCTCGCACAGTCACTTTCACTTTCTTCCTTCTGTCTTTTAGTCCTAAAATGTAGAACAACACCAGATCCAAATATTTGTGTCCTTCACTCACATCTTCAAATGATCCCTTCCATATCAGAGATGATACAAAGGCAACATTTGTCTTATTTCTCTTTCAGGAATCAAAAAGTACTTTTGTACTGTTGTGTAAATGTGTGTGTAAAGGTGGATGACTGCCTGCTGCAGATGAAATCTAACCATGGCTACAAATAAATGAAGCTGACGTGAAACACAGCCCTGTTTTTATTACTGTTTATAGATATTAGAATTGATGATCATCATTTTAATGATTCTTAAAAAGGCTTTAATGAATCCTTCAGTCTGAAACCAACTTGGAACAAAACACATTAGAAGATGTGGGAAAGAACCACAGTGTGCACATATTTAAACACACAACAGAACCACAGCGTGCACATATTTAAACACACAACAGAACCACAGTGTGCACATATTTAAACACACAACAGAACCACAGTGTGCACATATTTAAACACACAACAGAACCACAGTGTGCACATATTTAAACACACAACAGAACCACAGTGTGCACATATTTAAACACACAACAGAACCACAGTGTGCACATATTTAAACACACAACAGAACCACATGTGTTTGTTTCAAATAAGATTTTTACTCTAAATTTTGTTATATATGATTTTGTTTTTTTAACTACTTTGTGTGCAATTTATGAACTTTTAAAATATTTAACCATATTATTTTTTTTAGATTTTTCTATTTATTAATAGTTTCGTTATATTTAGTTTGTATATTTAGTGTTTTCATCACAGCTGTTAAACAACAGGTAACAGTGTGTGTTACTAAATTCACAGCAACATGAATGTTTCTGAGTGTTTGTGCATCATGTGACCCAGATTTTTGGATCTGCTGTCAGATTGAAATGAAGACGATGAAACCACAGCAGCTTCAGCTGAGCTGTCAATCAGCAGCAGCAGTCTTATCTGTGGGCCGCAGGGGCTGATGGGAGCTTTGAGGACCTGTTAGAAACCACGTGGCCCTCGTCTGATCTCACAGCTCGTCCTTGTTTGGCCTCAGCTGCATCAGAGCGCCACTTCTCCCCAGGTTCACCAGAGGAAACACCACTGCACAAAATGCTTTTCCTCCCAGCTGCTGCTCTGTGCTGTCTGTGTTCAGGTGAGTGTTTCCAGCCAATCAGGAGCCAACAAAGTCAACCTGTAACAAACACTGTCACACTAACCTTCATCTATCTGTCTGTGTCTCTACAGCACTGGTTACCATGGCAGCAGAACAGCTGATTCAGGATGGTTTAGCACATACCAAGAAAGTTGCAGAAAGTGCTTTCTTCAACTGTGGAGGGATTAATCGGTGTGATTATGATTATATATTCTGGTACCAGAAGAAAGAAACAGAAACATTTAGAGTTATTCTGTATATTAACAAGAATAGTGGTGAAGTTTACACAGGTTACAATCATCCTCAGAAAAGCGATTTCGCAGCTGTGAAAAGTGAGAACAACAATGTACGTTTGAATTTAGATAAAATTCAACTCGATCATTCAGCCACCTACTACTGCGCCTGTTGGAAGAAAGATACCCACAGTGAGAAATGATCCCTGCAGCCTGAACAAAAACCAACAGATGAACAGATGTCAAACAGTGTCTGTGACAGGAAGAGAGCAGTAAACCACAGCCCAGCTTCACATGTTTCACCTCCATCTCAGAGTCACAAACATACTGAGCTCAGGGACCATTTTTATTTACTGCTGTCAGAAATTCTATTTCCCTCAGATTCATCTTCATTAGATCAGCATGTCCAAATGAATAATGGAAAACTTTTCCTCCTCAACTGTTGTAATTTAATTCTGAAAAGAAACCACAGCTGAGGGTGACAGTTTTTCATGATGAATGAAGTCCATCTCTTGTTTCTTATTTTGTTTCTTATTCTAAAACTGTAAACTTATTTCATCAACTTTCATCATCTTTGTCTTTAAGTACATCCACAGATCAGCTCCTCAGCTTTTGAGCCACAAACTTCACTGCTTTCTTCACAGGCCTGAGAAAAGTGTCTGTCTTGCATTAAAGACTGTAGAACACTAGAGCCAATCAAATGTCAAGAATTGTCTGAATTATTTAACTGGGATGAAGAATCACCAAAAAAAAGCAAAGGAGGGAATGAGGTTCAGTCAAGCCACTGACGAGCAGCTGAAAGGGAGGCTCTGAAAACAGTTGATAACTTCATTATTAACTCTAACTTTCTACTTCTAAATTCAGATAAAACTGAGGTTATTGTACTTGGCCCTGAAAATCTTAGAAATATGGTAATGTGGTAGATTTTTTTATGATATGTATAACTATGTAACTATATATCTGTGTGCACTGAATATATATTTTAACTTTCATGTAGAGTCACACACACATACTTTGAACCTACACTGAAGTGCTTTTATATATGAGAAAGCATGTAACCTATGTAGTTATAAGATTATATATTATAAGATTGCGCCACTTGCTGTGTAAGATTTAGTAATTAGGATTAATGTGTGATGTTTGACTGTATCATGACGAAGCAGCTTGAAAAGAAAAGCGTCTGGAATTCTTTAAGTTGCTTGAAGACGTTTCACCTCTTCCGAGGTGCTAAGCTTCTCAGAAGCTAAGCTTCTCGGATGAGAAAAGGGAGTTGGGTGAGTGCTGAGTGTTTGCATATGTGTGCATGAGGGTGGGAACGCATGTTTGTGTCTGTGTGTGCCTGTTTGTCTGTGTCTATATGTCAGGTCAGGTCTTAGACTCCACCTGTCTGGGAACTCCCAGGCCCTCCAAAGTGTGGAGGCCTATCTCCCCTCACCACACTCCCTGTCAGTGACTGATGCCCTCAGGGGTCAGTGCATTGGTGGTTCTTGATGTCCGGGGCTGGGCGCTCAGGTATGTACCAGCTCACTCCCGGTGGCTACCTGGCGGGGCCTGGCACCTGTTGCTTGGTCAGTCCTCTTCCAGGGCACGGGGGGCCCTCGGGCCTCCGGCCTCTGGGCCTGCGGCTCGGTTCACTCTGGCACAGCTGGCTGCCGGCAGGGCCGGCGGGCACGCCGGTGCAGCCCCCTCTAGCTTCTGCTCGGTGGCTACTGGGTGACGCCTCATCTGGGGATCCTCAGCCCTTCCCATGAGGGTGGCACGGATGCCCCTCCGGTGGTCCTCCTTGGGCTCTCGCACTCTGAGGCCTCTGGATGTCTGGGGCCTGGATCTCCTCCATGCCTGCTTCATGCCCTGGGGGACGGGGCTATGGCTCGCTACATCCTCTTGCAGACCATTACATGTGGAAACCATTTGAATACAAGCGCGCTGATCCACACAGGTGTGCACACGGGTGTTCACTGCTCGTAGACTTAAATTACACCTTTCTTGGCTGCTACTTCAAAGCACATTGTGCGCTGTCTGTCCTGCGTGCTGCACAACAACATTGAATATTTAGTATTTACTGCTGTTTACACTTAGCTAGATTAATGCGATGGTGTTGTGTTAGTATGTTGCTTTGGGTTTTTTTTGCTTGTTTTCTCTTCTCTCTCTCTCTCAACAGGTGATCCAGGAGATTTCCCCCCCCCCCCCCCCCCTTTCTCACTGTCCCTCTCCCTTCTGTTTTTCCTTTCCTTCCTCTTTCTTTCTCCCTTTCCTATCCCTCACTCATGTCTGTCCCGTCTGTAACATCTGAAAATAAAATATAATAAATAATAAAAACAAAGGTC